GCAGAACAGGCCGTTCTGCTTGTAGTACGGCCCGTTCTGCTTACAGTACAGGTCGTTTTGCTTGTAGTACAGGCTGTTCTAGGGCCGTTCCATACTCAAAATTCGTCCAGTAACAACGAAATAAGAGACATGAGACGAGAATGTTACCTTGATGTTGTATTCTTCCGAGAAAATGAGAAGCTGCACACTTCAGATGAGAGCTCGAGAGAGTAAAGAGAAAGAATATATGAACTATTGAAGCTAAAGAGTAGAGAATGGAGTAAAATCCTACGAAATCCTAAACCAATACACCCTCCTAAGAGTGAGTCTTTATACTCTTGAATGTAAAAAGAGTACTACTGGTTTTACCCGTATTCAAAGGGGAGTGAAAGGTTCGGAAGTGGAGCCCACAGAGAGTATCGTGTAAAAATGCAAGCACGTTCTCACAAATATGCTTCCATACCTCACAATAATCACACGACAACCTGTATTTTGTTTCATTTTTTATTGCCAATCATTTTCTAATTTTATATTTTATCCTGCTTCATCTTGAAGAAAAGTTTTGCAAAAAATATTAAACGAGAAAGATAAGTTTTAACATGTTTAAAACTACTACAATTCACTTTACTTATTGTCATTACAAATTAAATAGATATAAAAAGCTGTCTTGGATCAAATTTAAAAGAAATTATCTTATCAAATAAAATTAATGACAATATTGTAACAAAAAACTTTTTCTCCTACATTACTTCATTGTTTATATAAATCAGGTTTGAAATTTAAAAATCTATTAACTATTTAATTTCACCATTTACCAAACATTTAAAACAAAATAAAAATAACAAAAAAAAAGAAGCTATAAAATTTTTTATAACATAAGATTGATAATTGGTAAAACTCAAGAAAAACACAAGTGATTGTAAAACATAAAAAAAATCATACAAATTTTAGAATAATAGTTCAAATAAATAAACTTGTGTGTAAATATTGAATATTAGGAATAAGCAGTTTAAGAAACATTAGAAAAATAGTGAAAATGGAATAATATTGTAAACGAACAAAAGAATAAATTATCTTATAAAATAGACTAAGGGTATGTTTAATAAAAATAGTAGTTTATAAATTTTCAATCAAAAACACAATTTAAATATGCCTTGTAAGCATGTTGTAGCTATTGCATATGAGAATGAAAACATAAAGGACTACGGCCTTTTGGTCATAATAAATAAAAATAAAATAAAAATTATTGAAATAAATTTAATATAATTATTTATCAAAATAAATTATTTTGGACACATAAAAGAGAAGTAGATCAGAAGAAAATGTCAACATCGATAACGAGTCCGATGTACAACAAAAGACATCAATGGCATTGACATCATCCATGTAGAAATTTTTGAACATAAAATGTGAATAGCTTTGACGTTTTGTGTACACCTCTCTCATGTCCCAATGTGTCTGCTCTTTCTGCATGTGTTATTTGCTCTCTCTACATGTGCTCCATGTGTCGTGATGTTGTGTGCATGTGTTTTTGTTGTGGAGTAGAAAATGTCAGCCAGGCTAGCGAGTTCCATACAAACCATGCAACCAAGCTGAAAACGCTAGACACGACGACTTTTTCAAACCACCAAAATTTGAGCGACTATATGAAGCATTATGCAAATGTTTTCTAAGCCAATAGTGTCACTACGACTGATGTTTTGCGTTGTGCAGGCCCGTGATCGTCTAGTCTCGTCCGGAAGAACTCGTGATGCTCCCGTCTTCTCTGGCAGGCTCCCCAAGCAGACTTTTGTGAATGTTTATTATCTTCCTGGTGTGGTGTTTATCCTCACATTATCCTCATGGAAACTCCACCTTCAATGGGGATCATGGTTAGTGTTAAGTGGCATCTGATGATGAATAACGACAATTTGGGCAGGATTATGACTAGTTTCTGATTAGTCTTGTTTCAATGTATATCCTTTGTCAAAGATAGAAATTGATATTTTTTTTACAATGGTGACAACAAAATTGAAGTTAGGACCTTTTGCTAACTATTCAAACCTTCGACTAACAAAGGTTTGATAAGTTAAACCTCACTCATTATGTATTATGGTACCCTTTTATTTTAGAATAATCATATATTTGTCATAGATATAGACAATGTGAGACTACATTTCATTTAGTAGAATGGTAATATATTTTGGGAGTTGCTTAACAGTGAAGAGATTTGGCCTGCCTCGAGAAAAAGCAGATAATGAAGTAATATTTTTATAACTATTTGTGAAAATGAGAATTTTTTTTTTCAAACCAAACAAGAAAATAGTCCTATACATCATTATTTCTCTCTTTTTCATAGTTAGATTATGTTGATGCCAGTGATTGACCTACATATGCAATTCTTCAATTTTGTTGTTTCTAATCCTAGACTCCATATGGTGGTGTCATGTGGGAAGCTTAAAGTAACCCCATCTTACCTTCTTCAACGTCTTTATTGGTGATTCGAGGTAAGAGAAGTTTGTTGAGTGATTATTATTATGTTATATGTGACGAATTGTTGTTATTTCCATAGATGATTGGCTGAGTTGATGAATTCAGGAACTTATATTTACTATTATGTGATTTTTGGTTGATTTTGAAAAGAAGAAAAGGAAAAATGGTGATCTTGAATTTTATGGGTTGCATGTTAAAATTATAGTTGTATTTGAGTTATTTGTAGTGCATATGTGTTTCCTAGTGTCTTGCATGTTGGTTTTGATGAGAATTTGCAAGTTTTAGAGTCAATCGTGGTTTTGCCAAGTGTTGAAATCACTACCGCTGTAGGTGCAACTTCATGGTGTTGAGTGTGATGCAGGTTGTAGGCTTTTTGCCTCACTAATATTGGTGTGGGATAGGTAATGTTATGCATGAGTTAGATGGGAGTTCTTTGACTTGGGCATGTCGAATGTGGATTGAAGGGCGTTAGGCGTGGTTGTCCTTTGAGCTCTTTGACTTAATCATGTCGGGCGTGAATTGAGAGGAGTCAACATGGTTACCTTTAGAGCTCTATAACTTGGTGACATTGGATCCAGATTGATTAGCATTGGGTATGATCAAGTAAGTGACTCTCTAGTTGGATGACGTCGAACATGAGTCAAATAGAAGCTCTTTGCCT